TTGGCTTTGAAAGCTCAGTATTTTGATACTGCTTTGTCCGACTCTTTAAAGCAAAAATAAGGAGAGAATGTGCTAGATGTGGGTAAATAAGGTATGCCTATACTACAGTTGCGATTTTGACCGAAGCAGGTAGATGTACCTAAATTAGTTTTAGATTAATTACTGTGCCACATGGATGGGAGTTTTAACTTCCCTTAGAATCACAGATGAGCTTCTGCAGCTTAAATGTCCATGTCTTGATGAGCGATGCCCTAATACCGTTGGTAGTGTCATGAATCTAATAAGGTTGATACCAAGTGATAGCAATTACTGGGAGGTGATATTACCATGTCCTTTTTAGTATTTGTCTTTTGTGCTATTCAGTAGCACCAGGTCTGGCCCTCCTCTTCCCCTGTAAAGAGAGAACTGTTCCCTGTATGGACCTACTGAGGTTGGTAGATCCTGGGAGAAGAAGATGTAAAGGAAGCCTGAAGAGAGAGGTCTGCTTTCAGCTTGTGCCATACCTTTACCTACGGGGTGAACTTTCCTATGGGCAAGAAGATCAGATGAATTTGGGAGCAGGTACACTATAGTGAGCAGGGAACAGAGACACACCTGCTCCCACTTGTTGCCACCAAAACCTCACCATCTAGCAAAATCACTGCCCACTGGATCAGAAGTGCCATGCTTATGGGGACAGTCTGTGTCCTAGGAGAAGTTGCATGAGGTAGAAGTTGAGTCTAGGCAGGGAGAGTAAGGCTCAGTCCTCCAGCACCATTTCATGCTTGTGCCCTCTACCAGGGGATGAAGTCCCCGAAATGCAGGTCCCACACTGCCAGCACAATCATCCTGACAGGGCAGTTGGTGTTCAGTGAGGGGGGAGAGAGAGAGGTGGTGTCATCCATAGTCTCACACCCCTCCCAGTCCCCATTTTCAGAAGGTTGTATAATAACATCATGCTGTTCTGCTGTTGACACAGTGCTACACAATGCTGCTACCACAGCTACTGTCTTGATATTACTGCTGTCACGCTCTCTAGGATAAAACTAGCCCAGATCTGTGTGGATGTGCTGCAAGCATGCCCCTAGCCTGCAGCATAGACATAGCTTCAGGACCTGGATCTTCTCGCTGTGCAGACACACAGTGTGCTGAAATTCCTGGGACATCTGCCATGTCTGTAGCAGTTGGAAGAGCATCTGCATGATTATGGCCAAGACGGTAAACAAAAATCCCCAAAACAGCTGCTCTTCATCTTCCACGATTGTTTTAACCAAACATGGCCCAAGATGTGTGCTGTGCTAAATCTATTCTGTTGTGAAATAAAGCTATTAAGTTGTTTTTTCTTTTGTTAATAAATGGTAAGTCTTATTGTGGAATAATAATGTCTTTATTCCTAAAACATGTAACTACAGCAGTGCAAACCTTCACGGTGCTGGCTTTTCAAGTGTTTGTGATTTCATATACAGCAGCTGCTTATCTTACAGGGAAATGAAAGTTGGTAACAACATTTTCCATTTTACTCTGAAACCATCCTGATTCTGTTGTGATCATAATTTCTGTCATGTTTCTGTTTAGGGTCAGGTAGAAATGTGGCAACTGGGAAAGGATTGTGAGTGTTATATTGTGCCCTAGGAGCAATTAAATCAAGTCTATCCCTACAAAGACTGAAGGTGCAAAAATTTGAAAGAAGAGAAATGGAAGGGAAGTCAGCAGGCTTTCACATGTGTTCACTGTCCTCATTCAGCCCAAGCCTTTGCTATTCCTGCCATTTCTGTGATTTGGCAAACTGTTTCATGGAATGGTAGGAATAGTAATATTTTGCTATTATCTGTGTGATGAGCAACATTCATCTTTGCTTTATAAACTCAGGTTAAATTAAAGCAAAAAATAAAGGCAATTTTAAATTTTTTTTCTGGGAGAATGTCAAAGTTGCTCAGCACAGCTGCTGTGATGTTGTGTTTAAGGCTGTGGTTGTGTATTATATGCTAATGTAAGAGACCCACAGACAACAGGCGCATATCAGGCCGTTGTTGTTTCAGAGCTCTCTCTGGGGCCTTTGATCATTGTATGCTGCTATATCACAAGTTGCAATCCAAGAATATTAACTTACCTTCATTTTCAATGTGAAAGGGTGCGTTAGTGTCATCTTCCCTGCTGGGTTGGTCTGACGCATGAATCTCGTCTCTAATCTGACTCCTGTCCACATACATAAATTGCTCACTGGAACGAGATGGTATTTGGGTTAGCTGGCTGAGCAGAGTGGCTGGGAGGAGGTTAAAAGCTTGAGCACTGCTGACACTTGAGCTGGTGGTGCGGGAGGAATACAGCACTCAGGTTACAGCAGCTCATCAATTGCTAACCCTCCGGCTTTGCTGGTCCAGTCATTTTGCAACAGCAAAATATTATTTAGTGGTCTGATTGCTCTCGCTGGGATCTGTCTGTTAGAGTCAGACTGCAGGGTAGGATGCCTTGTCTTAGCTTTAAACCAGTTACTGAGAATAGGGTGGCAGTGCAGGAATTCAGTGCAAGCTACAGAACCCACCCAGAACTGTACTGCACTGAGCTCTGGGCAGCTGAGATCACACCCAGCTACCCAGCCATGCAAGGAATTCTCAGTATACCAGCCCAGTGACAGTTGCAGCCATAGACTGCAGGGTAAATATGCTTTAGGCTGGGCTAAGAGGAATAACGTGAGAAGTTTCTTGGAGTGAGAACATCCAGGAGTGGCTCAGCCACTGGCAGGAGTAGCCAAAATTCAGGCATCAACTGTTACGGCAGGTTGGAGAGTGAGACGGCAGGTGAGATTTTGACAAAGCATCAGCTCTCTTCTTCACTGTCAGACATATAAAATCAGCAAAATAAAATATCTCAGTATACAAGTGAAAAGGCCCCGTCCATTTAAAATACTTTAAAAAGTAGAACAGGTTAATGAGAAAGAGCAAAGTAAGTCTGCAGGAAGAGCATGGTGGATGTGTGGAGACTTTTCTGTAAGTCTGCAGAAAAGCTAAATGCAAAATGCTGCCAAACACGGCATATGTTGAGAGATCTTAAGAAACCAAAGATTCAGTAAAATAAAGAGAAAAATCCCAGCACAGCTTCCTGGGTAGCTCCACCAGGTGACTCTGCTCTACAAAGGACAGTGCCATTTTTTTTTTTCTTAGAAGATGCATATTTCTACTGATGATGCTTTGGGACAGCATTGAAGAAGTTATCATCATGTGTTGTTTGCTTCTTGCTGATGCAGCAAAGTGCTGTAGTCCAGGATGTGTAGCCTGCCTGTGGTTAGATTGATATATTATGGAGTTGAGAAGGAAGTTTGAACCCATTTTTTTTTGTATGAAAAGCTTCAGGCTGAAAAGTTGGGAGATTACTGATCTAGCAGTTTTTCTGAACGTAGAAAGTGCAGGCTGTCACAGCAACTGTAGTTATAAGCACCTGATGCCTTGTCTACTTACAGTCCCTAAAAGTAAGGTGCTAAGGAATTCATATGCGGTAGAGGTACTGATTTTCCATTAGTCTGCATGCAAAATTTCTGAAGTGATGTTGGTGAATCAGTACTTGTAGGTAAATTAGTGCATTACCTTCCCAGTGTATCACTGCCCATGCACTAGGGGATGGGGAGTGTTGCCTGACTGCTGTAGCAAGGAAGGTGCCCCATCTTGCCTTTGATCGTAGATAGTCAGGATGAGTCCTTCTCTGTGCTAGGCCAGCACCTGAGCATACTCTCCATTGGCCCTTCACCTGCACCTTGATTTTGTGGGTGGAAAACTCAAATCTGTGGCCCAGAAGGGAGCGGTGATGTATTCTGGTCCAGCCCCAACCTAGAGTGCTCTGGCAATGTTTAGGCTATGCTTTCCCTTATGTACTGCTTTGACAAATACAAGTTTAAATGAAGGTGGTGTGTGAATTGCTGTGATGTGCCTTATTTGGCCATTTTTTGTTAAACAGGGCAGTATTTACTGTTGTTAGCCTTCTTTCTGGTTTCATCTCAGTTGAAACATCCATTATTTTTCTAATTTACAGTAGCAGAAATAGTTTTAGTATCAGGCTCTATGTATTTATTTCAGTATTTTTTTCAAGACTATATGCTATGAAGTACCTTTCAGACCCACCCACTCCCCCCAACAAAATGTTAAAACGTAAATATACTTTTTGTCAGTTATGCCATTAATATTCTGAATGTCACAATGTAGCCAACAGAGAAGGATAGATGGGTTCTGTATTGATTGTATTTTCAGGCATTCTTGCTCTATGGCAGTGGTGTAGTATGAGGGTTACAGAATTCAGAAAGAGGTATACTTATAGTCAACGTTTTGATGAGATGTAGTTTTAATGGAAGGTGTCTTTTAACCGACCCATCCTTTACAAAGAGCAGCTACGTTCCTTTCACCAAGGAATATGTTTGTTGCTTGATTGAGAGCTAGTCTAAAAAGAAAGAAAAATATTGTGTTAGTTTATTTCTTCCTTAAGCTGCATGAAAAAGCACTGGAATATTTTTTTGCATTTAACAATAACTTTTTATTACTTTAAAATTTCAAATTTTCTGGGCTCTGGAAATTCTGTGTATGACTGAGAATGGCTGAATGAATATCATTGTAGATGATTAACTTTAAAAGAGAGTTATTTTGGTACAGACTATTTAATTGTTTCTGAAGCCAAGCACCTGTTTGACTCAGATCCTAGTGAAGAAAAGTACCTACTAGAGAGATGCAACAACATACTGCTCATTTAAATGTGGCCAAGGCTGCTCTGAGCTCAAATGAACTGCATTGAAGAATCAGAGATGCTCACTGTCAAAAGTTTGAATGACTTTGTGCATAAAACCACTCCAAAAGGAAGAGCAAAGAGAGGGAAATGACGCTTTTAACAACTCATTTTTTTCCTCTCTAGGTTACTGGACCAGGCAATTTTTTTCTCTTCCTATTGTCCTGATGGATTTCAATGAGCAAGGGAGAAGGCGGCTAAAAATACACTGTTGAATCTAACTTTTATGTGTGTTATTTGCTTGCTTGTTTAACTAGGGACAGGGGGCCCTGTCTGAGAGACTAAGAAGCTTTAGCATGCAGGATCTCTCAACGATTCGTGGAGACAGCAGCAGCACTGTTCCTCCTTCGGTCACTGTACGAACAAGTAGCAAACAGAGCCAGCCAAAAACATCCAGAAGTGCATCGGAAGGCACTGGCAGCTCAGGTAAGTGCCAGTGTTATTTTCAGTGTTGTGTTGTCTGGAATATCACGCAGCTGAATGAAGTCATGCAGTTGGCAGGAATATATAGAAACAGACATTGCAGGCAGCACATATCAGAATTCACAGGATGCAGACATGCTGTTGAGTCTCTTGGCACTTAAGAGAGAAAACAGTGTCATCGTTTGACGGTTGCTATTCCTGGCTGGTACCAAGGACGGTACATGCCTTGAGTGTGCAAGGGAGCCAGCATCAGTCCTTGCAACTTGAGCTGAAAAGTTAGGCTCTGGGCTGGGGGCTGCAAGCCATGGTGGGTTTTCAATGAGAGAGGCTAATGGAAGTGCAAAAAGAGGGGTTAAGAATGTATAGTAGTGGGCAAGGGTCATTATTATCATCAAAGCCCCTATATGGTGATACAACCTTTCTCTCTTATGTCATCTAAACATAAATACAAGTTCTAATAGATACCTGGTTTGAATGAGGCCCGCTTGTGTTTCTTCTAAACTGGACTGTAGCTGGTACAACACTTGACAGTTGTAGTTCCAGAACTTTATCACTGATGAAGCCTACTGAGAAATAAAACCCATATAAAGCACTCCTAGAAGCAGAGACCAAGTTCTGACAACTGGTTATGATATGAAGGATGTCTGCATAAGCACTGTTACGGAAAACAAGTCTCTCCGAATGGCAATGGTTTGTTTTCAAATTCTAAAAGAGCAAAGGGAAGAAACATGGTGGGAATAAGATCCATTCCTGAGGATTTAGTTACAAAAATTTATTATAAGCTTGGTTAAATAAATCTTTGTGAGCCCAGGTCTAAAACACTTTATTGGAGATAGCTTTGCAGATTAGATCTCAAAAATTGAGATATAGAGGGTTATCCCAAGCAGGGGGTTCCAGATGGCTTCTGGGATTCCCCAACACCACCAAAGATCATGCACCTCAACTGCTGTGATGAGAAGTCACAAAAGTTGCAGGCGTATTGCGCTTGGTAGCTTGTGAAACATATGCTGGCAAGTTTAAAAATTGGCAGTTTCAGCTTGTGTGTGTTGAGGTCTGTGCAAACTTTCACTGTGTTTCAAGCCTCTGTGGATTGCTACTCCTTCTAGTTTGCTTTCGTTTTGGAATGTCTTAGAAATGTCTTGTCTCGTCCTTCCTAAAGAGTATCCTTCAAGCTCTTTACAAATTCTGAGAATTCTAGCTCACAGATTTCTCTACTTTTTTTTTTTTAAACGTAATCTGTTGAATAAATTCTCTTTACAGGTAAACTGAAATAGCCAATGTTGGTGCACAGTGGTTTTACTCTGATGTTTATGTAAGGTCTTGTATACATGACCTCTATCTGCCCCATCTCACTTAGTGATTTCATTGAGGACCCTAATCTAGGATCCTGCTTGCAGGCCTATTCTCCACCCGCAGACAATATGAAGAGGCACCTCCAGAGGGTGATTTCACTCACAGATGGTGGCATCATGCTGTATGGAAGACTGCAGGCACAGTTTTTCTCTCACTTTTAATCAGATTAAGTGAAAGATGTGGTCCTGGTCTGTCCAGTCCTTGTGCCGTTTTGTGTGGGCACAATTACGTATGTAGTCAGAATGTCTAGAGGGGCGAATTGATCAGAGTCATAACTAGTGTGTGTGTGTCTGTGTGTATGGAAGAGTATGATCTATCAGCCAGACTGTATCTCATCTTGAAGGCCATATTCAGAGTGAGCCAACACTGTTCTAGGCACACCAAGTCCAGACGTGGTCCCAGCACTCAACCTTCCATATTTGTTTGGTTGGAGCATTGCACATAAGCAAGGGGCAGACAGAATTTGCTACCACCTGTTAGTATGCTATATATGCATATAATATATTCATATACGAGTATGTGCGTGAGCAGTGACTACAGAACAGCTGACACACAGCTGGTTTTCCTGTCCCAAAGCCCTCAGATAACACAAATGTCCATGTCAGCAGTCCACACTATCTCAAGGAAACATTAGACTTCTCTTTATATTCCTGCTTTAGAGATAATAGGACTTAGTCTGACATCAGAGGGAGTCAGCAAAAATACCCCAGACTGTCTGTTTGAGGATGACTCAGCTGAAGACCTTTACTTTCTTGTAAAATGTCTTGGAAGCCACCAGGTATTAGAAAGCCTGACAACAGTAGCTGGGATACACGAAACGACTTAAGAACGTTAATAGAGAGTGTGGCGGGGACTGCAAACATTGTACCCTTGGTCAGAGTATAAATCCTGCTTTATAGAAACTTTTAGGAAGGGTTTGAAGGAACAGGTCCTGTGTCTGCAGAAGAAGCAGTGTGGTGGTTAGGAGGCAAGACTGTGAGTTAGGACACATGAATTCACGCCCCACTTTATTGCCAGATACTGGTATGACCTGGAGCGTGCCTTTGTTCTCAGTGTGTCTGCAAAACAGACGAAATTGTACTTCCCATGCCCAGGTCCTGAAAGCCATACATGGTAGAAGATGCTTGTGTATTTTAAGGTCAATACCTTAGAAGATTTCTTATGTGGCTTTCCCATACACCTTACTTCAGTGATTATAACATGCAAAATACCTGTGGAAAAGTCCTGTCTATGGATTGACCCCAGTTTTGCAAGAAGGTTTCTCTGTTTCTAGTTAACAGTGCTCTATCTTGCCACTACCTCTGAGAAGTTTCTGGACAACTGATATGTGCCTTTTTATGTTTTCCCTTCTTTTATCTGTCCTTTGTTTCCCAGTCCAGGCATCTGAGAAGCTGAATGTGGGTGTGCTGGGATCTTGATGACTTGCTGCTCTGGGTGCCACTCTTACAGCCCTTCCTCTGCCATTTGTTCATTCGGGTCCTTCCACCCCTACCCATTTCCTTACATCCTCCATCCATACCAACCTGTTACAGTCCTCTGCAAGTGCAGCTCTCAAAGTCACTGTCTGAATTTACAAATGATCAGTAACTGTGGCAGGGATAGGAACCTGAAGTGTTATTTTGACTGGATACATTGAGGAGTGCTGCTGCAGGTGGGGTTTGCCTAAGGAAGGGGGCATCGCTGGGCCACAGCCAACCTTATGAGTGGAAAAGCCAAGCACTGCTTTAACACTTGTAACCCTTTTCATTTCGGGACTGGCATCCCCATGCCTGGGAGTCGGTGTGAGCATCACTCAGTCCTATGGAGGTCACAGTCTTTGATGGAAGAGTACATACACAGACTGCCTAATGGAGTGCTTTTATAGCTCCCTTTATTTCTCTCATATGGCTGTCAGGGATGTACAAAGACTGAAGAATTAGTTTTGCATCTAGCACAGGCTCTTAATTTTCTCAACAGGAGAGACAGCCACGACAAAGAGAGAATAGCAGCCTTATGATAATGAGGTGTCAAGAGCTACCCTCAGGTGATGGAACAGCTTAGCTATGGTCATTCAAGCTGTGCTTGAGTAAAGAGCTGTGGACTCAGGAAGAAATCCTGAGTTTGATCCAGATTAAAAATACTTTCTTGTACTATTTTTGAAGGATTATTTTTAACTCATACCAATTTGCTGATCCACCTTACTGGGAGCTTCCAAAATAACTGTTTTGGGAGACCTTTGGGGAGATATGTTATGAGATCAAGAGGCCAGGAACTGGAAGCTCCTCAAGCCAGCTTTGCTACTGAACGAATGGTGCATGGAAGCACACCCTTGCTCACAACAGTGAGGCAAAGACAAGAGATGGCTCTTTAGGTTGAGGTTACAGGAGTTTAGATGGGTCCCATTCCCTGAGCAATGAAAACACAGCCAGATCTGGTGTGGAACTTGGTGTTGCTACTTCTAATCCTGTTTTGTGACTGTGTTTAAGAGCAGATATGATATCTGAAAGAAAGTGATTTGGAAAGACAGGGGGATAGAGAGAGGTCTGTTGTCTTCCCTGCACAGATGAGACTGCTGAAACTCAGGTTTGTTGGTGGAAAGCCCCCACTCCCCCTGGGAGCACCAGGAGTGGTTCAAGTTCTGGTTTCACACCTCTTGGACATGTTTCCAAACCCACTGAAACCTGTGAAAACACTCTGCTGACACTGGTGGGCTTTGGCTGTGGCCAAAAGCTGGCTGCAGGACCGTGCTGTGCTCAGGCTACATTAAATAACCACTCAGCTTGTTTCATTTCCATTGTTGTTATTTTTATAATGTGACTGGTGCTGGTTAGATGGATTTGTGACTTTCTGAGTCCCCTCTTGACACAAAGCACCGTGTGAAGAGCTTGACATTTAATTAGTAATGACCTCATGCAGATACAGCAAAGGTTTATTTTTGCCTGCTGAAGAGTGTCTTATGAGGCCAAGAAATAGAATATGCAAGAGCTGCCTTTGAGACAAGAGGAATTACTCCTTCTTTTCCTCTACCTTTTCCTGCTTTTTTTTTTTTTAACCTCTACCTTTTGCTGTCTTTGCTGCCTTTCAGTGGTGCCTGCTATACGTTGAGCAGTCAGACTCGTGCGGATGGCCTTCCATAGGAGCAGGACTGCTCAGTGTATGGTGGGCTCCAGGTGCTCTAGGTGTATTCACACCCATTCCACAGAAAGACCCTTCTCCTCCTCCTGACACCCAGTCAAAAGCCACACGCAGATGACATGAAGGACCAAAGGCTGCTTTTGCCACGATTTATGTGTGGCTGCCGACCCCCCCACAGCACATTGTGAGGCATCACCACTGCTCCAGTGAAGCATGTGCACACCTTCCTTTGTCACAGGGTGAGGAAACACAATGGTTGCCCTTCCACCGTCTAGCAAGCCCATGACCTGTCCTCTTTATCTGATCTTTTGCTTTGCTCTTAGTTCAGCGTTTCTTGATTTAGTGTCCTGGCACCCTGGTGATAGCCTGTGATATTTTAGCTTCGATGCCTGTTCCAACCTGTGCTTCTTCCACAGGCAGAACTGCCCCTTTCCTTTGGGAACTGTAAATGTGGCTACTCATTGTTATGGAAAACTGGAAGCTCCAGAACAACATTTCCAAATATTTTTCAAGGCAATCCTGTTGTTCTGGCAAATGTCCAGTAACAATCTACAGATGTGTCTTTATTAACAGCGGGGGGCTTTTGCACTTCTTAACCTTATGATATTGCCTTGAAAGCATCCTGGACAGTGCAGATAAAACTTGTTCCCTTGCGACGGCTGGTGAGTGGCACATGTGACTTGATAAGTGGGATATTTGCCACTGTGTCACATAGCTCAGTCCCATAGCTGATGCAAACATGTCTCATGGTTGCTGATGTCAGCAGAAACCTCCAGTGTGGGCTGGGCACTGGAGGCCAGCCTTGCTTTTGGGTGAGTCAGTGGGACATATTTCAGCGGCAGGAGATTTGCATTGCATCATGGGATGGTCAGTGTCCAGAGCTGACACTGTCTGGGCCAGAGGATCACATATTATGGAGCCACCCTCTGTACTTCCCAGACTGAGTGCCCTTTCTGCAGAAGCTTGTCCCAGGCAGAAATCATTCTCAGCTGGAACGATTTCGTAGCAGAAATGTGCAGTGTGCTTTCTGGTACTCTCCACACCTCTGTGCGGGAGAGTCAAGGCTGTTTCTTGGTTTTGCATTTAAGCACTGAAGGCTTTGCAGGACAGAACAATGGTGGCAGAATATCAGCATTCAGGATATGTCTGGATAGTTCAGTCCCCACCAACCAGAAAAAGTCCAGAAAGATGTGTAAGAACAACCCATATGTATATGTTATATGAGCTCTCAGAGAATAAACCATCAAACTGTGATCAGCTGCCTTCCGTGTAAAATCAGGGGCTTAACACACAGCAGATCTCTTAAGGTTGGTTGAGACTCATCTCTTTCATATGAAGGCCCTAGTTTCATGGCAGCATCCAGCCAATGTGAGCCAGCACTCCCATTGAAAGGGTATGGCCCAACTGCTTGCTTCTGCCCCATACCATCCTTTCCCTTGGACATGTCTAAATCTTATTTATATATGCTGACTCCAGTCAGGGAGCTGGCTGTTCCTTGCTTCCAGGTTGCTCTTGACCTGGGTCAGATCCTTAAGCCTGTAGAAAGCAGCAGCAGACATCATCAATAGGTCAAGGAAGGTGGAGGCCAGAGTGCGAGGGGCAATGGGACATCTGTTTTCAGCTGCAGCACTGGTTTATGCTGGTTTAAAATGACTGTGAAACTGTGGAAGAACTTTCAGTGTCTACAGTGCAGGATAATTATAACCAAAGAAATCACACAGAGCTCAACCCTTTTTTTCTTCAAAAGCTTTTTTTATCTGGAGTCATTGATGCCACTGTAAGGATTAAATTGGAAGGCTCAAACTGGAAATTATTTCTAGGCTGTTTCCTGGAACACAAGCTATCCACAAAATGAAGCTGTAAAGGTCACACTTCTATGAACAGCTGTTAATCACTTGCATTTGCACTGAAGGGTGCACTGTAATTCCCTTGGTTGCTTTCATTCTTGCAGCAATTCCACCAAAATATAATTCCTGCAGGACTCCTCAGCATGTTCCTGATTTAGGAAGATCAGGGATCTGTGGATAGTTTTCCTTCAAAAGCTGCATGAATGGCTGCACCAGTGCTTGTAGAAGTCTAAACCTACTGAAAAAAATGCAGACATAGCAATACAAGTCCCAGTATTGCACCCTGTGTTTATTATCATCCAGCCTTTTGCACTGTGTTACCCATTGCTTATCCATGCTCCCAGGCCCCTCTAGTCAGGAGTTATTTCTGTTTAGTGATCTGAGAACAGAGCCAGGGAGCTGTACGTAATCCCAGCCTTAACACCCGTTGGGCACATAGCTTGGGGTGAGGCACGTTCCTGAGTCTGTGCTCTGTGCTGCTGAATAGAGACGATCGTCTCTTAATGCATACGGGGGCCCTGAAGTCCACTTCAAAATGATGCCAAGTGTTTTCTGAGAGGTAGTAGCTTAGCCTGATGAGTTTCTAATGCTCAGCTCCTCTTTCAGTGTGCACATGTTGCTCAGTATGCCGACTCCTCAGAGGTGAGTGCTGGATTTCCTGTGCCCCAATACCCACGCTTCCCTTTCAAGCATGGCTGCGTTCCCCAGCCTGGCTTGCTCCTGCCGCTCGTACTCATTGGGTTTCCTAACACCAGGGGAACAAAACCAGGGGAAGGCCAGGCTGCGAGTGAGTTTGAGAGCTGTGTGTGTGCTGATGGCAAGTATTGCAGTGCTTCTCACCTTACTGACCTGTGTTACCCAAGGCTGGGGAGTGTTTCTCTGGAGAAAAACATTCTGTTCAGTCCTTTCTGTTCTAGAGGATGTACCACTGTTCTTGCTGCACCAGTGTAACTCCTCTGCCCCCGTATCCCCCAGCGCTGGTGTAAAACCACCAGGAACGCAGCAGGAGCAAACCTTCCTCAGTCCCAGCCCTGTTGTGCTTTGTTCCCTAAGGATTGGCTTGTGTTTCTCTGTTGGTAGAGAGGACATTTGTGTTTGGGATGAGCAGGGTATATAGCAAAGCCCAGTAGCAGACCCTGGTATGATAAAATAGGGTTGAACAGACTCTCCCTGCTTCAGTCTGTGCTAGAGCCATTTTTGAAAAATGTCCCCACTGTCCCCAGCGTTTATTGTGTTTACAAACTTAGGAGTATAGTGAACAGTTTAGCTGCTGGTGGTCTTTTCAATGCTGCACCAGTTAGCTTGGTTGCTAAGAGCTGAGCCGTATCACTTCTGCATTTTGTCCCAGTGGCAGATGAAAGGAGAGGGAGGCCTCTGATTTGGGCATGCCAGAGGATGGGGCTGCCAAGCAGCTTGTCTAAGGAGAAAGAAGAAATCCAGACGGGCAGTGTCTCATGTTGGTGGAAGCAAAAGACCTTTGTAACTCCTTTACTTCTCATCTCATGTGCTTTTTGTTTATTTTGAACACTAATCAACCTGGGGATGGCAGCAGAAAGACTGAAGGATCACAGTGCTGCCACCGTGCTGCAGCCATCTGTGCCTCCCCGCTGCCTTGCACCTGATGTGCCATGCAGCCCTCTGCAGCATTAGTGCTTGGAGGCTGGTGATCCCAGCCTGATGCTGTCTCCTTGCACACTGCTTAGTGGCAAACCAGCCATCATACTTGATTTGTCACCCTCCCTGTTGTCCTTTTCTGGTTCTTTGCACCAGCACATCTGGGGTGAGTGTGCCACTGTGCAGGAGAATTAAGCCTGTTTAAGGTGGTATCTGTTTAAGCAATCATGAAACACTTGTATTCACAGTGCATTTTATTAGCAGCCTTCTAATTTTAGCCTAAACCAATTTTATGGATTTGACTTCAAAATGTTATTTATAAAAAGAATCACTGAATCATTAAGTGCTTAATAGTCATGAGTTAATCTTAGGAAAGTCATTTAATGGTGCTAAGGCAGTAATCAGTCCAATATGTTTACAAATTGGGCTCAAAGTCATGTTGATCTGGTTTAAATTGCATGCCTTGTCTTTCAGATTGGCTTGTTCTACTATTTTTTTTCCCCTGACATAATCCAGTCCCTTAGACCATGTCAATAGGGATATGCTGAGGCTCTATCTCATAGAGGGTTCATTCTGTCTCCACAGGCTGCCCTTTCTCTGTCTCCAAGGCAATAGATGCATTAATGCACTCTCAGACAACGGCCTGCCGTTTAAAATGCTCCTTTGTAAGTGCAGCTTTGCTAGCTTAGAGAGCTGACTACGTAATGTGAACACATTTTTCAATGCCACAAAAAGCAGGGGGAAGAAAGAAGCTAAGTTTGTTTAGCTAGGACTAAGTTGTTGTGAACTATTGGCACTCGTCTTTCCTTGGTGCAAACTTTTGTGTAGCCAGTTTCAGAGTGCAATCATGAAAAGTACTCATTTCCAAAGAGTTTGTAATCTAAATGGACAGATAGTCAAGTCTTACCTCAAGCAGGAGTATTAAAGGCTGGGTTAGAGCCATGATGCAGCCTTTTTGGTAGGAGCAGTTGCCTTAATGCTCTTGCAGGTGAAACTCAATTGTTTCTCTCGCTGGCTGCCTCAGAAACCCCCATAGCTTTTAGGAGAGCTAGTGGGAGCAGAAGTCTGCCCATCCTGCTCCCTAGATGATATCCTGAGAGAAGGTTTCATGAGGATATGGCCTGCAGGTGCCATGGAGTGCGCATTTACGCAGAGACTGAAGGCTAGGCTGAGTGCAGTGTGAGCTCCCCCTGTACTGTACCGGAGCAGATCTGTCAGCAGTGGTGGGCTCCTTTGCTGCCGAAGCTGTTTGCTTCACAGAAGAGCTCTTTCCTGCTCAGTGGGCTCACTCCAGCTGGCCTCACAGTCTGCACATGACAAAGCGTTGACACAATTCAGGACATTCATCCTCCTTTGCTCTGGGCAACATCGCTAAATGCAAGCATGTTCCACTATATATACTCCAGCACGTCTTCTTGTCAGCTTCTATGCCAGCTCTTCTTGCTCTTGTTCAGTGGCAGGCCTTTGCTGACAAAACTCCTTCCAGGTCTTTACACAAGTTTCTGATTTCTCTCTTCTGTGTTCATGGCCTGTGGAAAGTCAGGCTGCAGCATTAAGGGACAACGGTACAATTACGTAAAAGCTCTTTTTTCCCCTTCAGGAAGGACAGAGTGAAAATCTCCAGGGATATCTGTTTGTCTTTTGGCAGTGCCTGGTAAATGCTTAAATGCTGGTCAATATTAAACAACCTTGCTTGGAACTAGCATTTAAGAAGTAACAAATACTATGTTCAGTGGTATTCTCTCAACTAACATCTCCTAGGTGCTGTTGCAAAGACCTGTGGCATGGTCGAGAGAGGGGAACAACTTTAATCCTTGCAGAGAATAAATATATCTAGCAGATATTGAAGAATCAGCTGTATATCAGAACTGTTGTGGCTGCATGTATTTGAGGGGGCATTTATTACTAAAATGCTGATCAGGAGCCTTAGGCAATGTAAGAAATGTGCAAGGACATTAGTGATGAATGGGACTGTTTTTTGAGTATGCATCACAGGGTTGTGCTCCATAGTGGCGACTGATACAGTAGTGTACGCCTTAAAAACTACAGGTCAGCAGTGACTGACAGTCAGCCTAGCCAACACCTTCAGTTAGGCATGCACAAGGTGTTGCAGCATCAAGCCATGCCCTGGAGTTTTTCCAATAAAATAATATTGGATCTCTTCCTACATGTGGTTGTCACCCTGAAGACAAGGTAACAGATCACAGACAATCAGCAGTACAGCTCAGCAAGGAGCTTAATGGGACATTCACTTAATTGTGTTTTAAACCTTACTGATATATTAGATATATCCAACCCCATCTTTGTGGTAAGCTACAAATTGCACGTGAGATTGTTACAGTGGAAAGTACTCTTAAAAAACTAATTGACTTTGCATCAAGGGGGCTGTTCATGTATCTCTGAACTAATTGAATTAAATGGTGTAGGTGGTTTCATTTTTGTTCTCGGCCAGTTTTGCTTCCAGCTCTTGTGCTGGTTTTTTTTTTTTTTTAACCTTTCTCTCATTGAGCTTAAAGAACAAACGACAACTTTCCATTGCTCTAGGCATTTTGTTCCTTAAAACTTCCCTTTACTAAATGTTGAATCAAATTTTTACACGGATGATTTGCATCACTTTGCAACAGTACATCTGAATGGCAATTTGGGATTTTCTCTGGGTATTTAAAAATACTTTCATACTTATTTTGGTTATTTCCTAGAAGTACATTTGCATTTTACCAACAGACAGTTAAAACATTAATTGTTGTTTAATAAACTCCAGTTGAACCACAGCTATTATGAAAGCAAAGACAAAAGATTTCTGTGCTCTGCAACAATGTTCCTTCCCCCTCTACACCCAAATGTTTTCCCCTAACAGTTTATTCTTTCCTTTTCTCTATGTAAATATTATGGGACTCTGATGTAAGTGTTACAGATTGCATGAGTTTTCTTCTGAGGTGTTTGAAATAGACTAGCACTTAACAACTAAATCATTTGCGGGATGCATTTTGATTAACGGATGACTTTGTTGATGTGATTAGACTTGTTTGCTTTGGTTGCACTTGATTTCAGCTTTGGAAAGGATGTCTGCCTCTGTTTTGTGGCTCCTGGGCAGTGTGTGCTGGTAGAGTTGGCTGCTCCTAACTTCTTGGTTTGGCAATGAAAACTCTTGGGGAAGTACATGACTTGGATCAATGTCTTTTGGAAATGATGGCAAATTTATCTTTGTTGCAGGGAAAAGAAGCTGATGGCCATCGTATAATAAATATGTGTTCTCTTGCTCTTATGAAGTGGTGTGCAAACCTCTTTATATGAACTATCCCCTGGAAAGGCTTAGCTTTGGTGTGACCTTACCTTCCATCACAATAATACAATACCTTGCTTCTGGCTTGCGTAGTTTGTGACAGTGGTTTTCCCCATTGCTCCCGAGGAATTACAGTGATGGGAGGAAGAAGTATTGTGCCCAGCAAAGTAAGGGGGGGTGCAGCTTCTCTCAAAGGTATTGGGGTGCCTGATTCCCACAGTAACTGTATTTAAGTGTCCAAATTTTTCAGAGGATTTAGATCAAAGTGATTTGCTCATCTGTAGTTAGAGTGGGCCATGTCCTGACCTCAGTTGTACTCATGAAAATCCATGGGAGTTACTCTGAATTTACACAGCAGCATAGACAAGAGCCTGAATCAAAGCAATTGCTGAAAAAACAGCCAGCTACTGAATCCCATTTGTTGCTGTAGAAAGAGTTTTGCAAGTGAGATTTTTTAGCCCATGTAGAATCACAGAGATTAAAGATGACAACGATCTGGCCCTACTTTCCCTTGTCTGTGCTGGGTTGTTCCCTGTGGTGCATTTAATAGCTTAGATCCCAACCCTGTCTACTTTAACTTGGAATATGCCCAGCTTCAGGGCTTCCCACACAATGTGTTGGCTGTATAAGTTCCCTTTGAAGGAATTAGGACAGGGTGATAGGAACTGGAATTAAGGGGTCCCTTTCCTTAGGCTGTTTACAGTGAGACTCTCTCTTGCTTCAGTGAAGAGAGAAGCGTGATCTGGTCTGGATACTGAAAAGACATTTGCAAGAGGCAGCAGCAGATTTAGCACTGGCACACCAGTTGACCTCCTGTTTCTGCAGCAGTTCTGCCCCTTCATGCAAAGGTGTGGAGCCATAAATGTAAGACGTGGAGACACCTGAAACACAGCCCACTCTGAGATGGGGAGTGAGTCTCCCAAAGAGGAGAGAGCCAAAGGAGCCATCTGGCGTACAATCCGTGCTTGTACACAGCCACCTCCTGATTGTGACACAGTCCCTGGGGCTGTCAGCTGCTTCCCTGGAGCAGCACACACTGCTGGCTCTGCCACTTTGGGGACATCTGATAGTGGCCTGAGGCCCCACAGCCTTAGATCCTAAAGACAGCTCTTAGAAACACACAGGAGGTCACCCGAGGCCAAGTGCTGTCCTCAAGAAGCCTGTGCCAGCCCTGACTGTGTTTTGCTCCTCGGTCTGCTCCTTCTCCAGAAAAAAACCTTGGTGTCCCAGAACCCATCCATTCACTTTAAGCCTCCATCTCCTTTCGCACCAATTCCTCACATGTGCGCTTATTGTTCTGGTTAATCCCCTGCTTTACATTTTCTCCTGCAGAGGACTCACTGTTTTGGTGTAGGAAAATGATTTTTTTTTAATCCTGTCATCACCCTATGCGCAGAAAAAACAGCTTCAGTGTTGGCGCTCACACACCAGCAGCCCTTCAGAGATGAGTTGCCTCCAGTCCCACAACAGCGTAATGCTTCCACAAACGTGGGACAAAGTCTGGCACCCCAGATCAATAGGAGGTTGGGATTGCCCACAACAGAGTTGTCCTCCCTGAGGCAGGATGGGCAGGGAATCCTCCCTTCTTGCTCTGGGTCTTAAAGAAAGGGCCTTGTGTATTCAAGGTCTGCTCTCATCAATGGTCAGAAATGTAGTGGAAAGGCCTGGGATAGACCCACTTCTTCCCTTTCCAGTTCAGTGAGGCTGAAGCAAAACTGGTTCCCATTTGGCTGGTTTTCAGTGCCTCATTCACAATGAGATGGAGCAGGGAAGAAGAGGGTGTCAGCCCAGCTTCCAGTGGACTTTACAGATCTCTCTGGTGTGGAGGTCAAAGCAGTATGTGCCAGCTTGGAGGCTGAGCTTTCCTCTCGATCTTCACAGAAGCAGCTCCAGAAGACGGATGTGATGCTCAGGCTGACGGAGAGAACGGAGGAGCCTGCAGGAGGCTGTGCCTCTCCTGTGCCTGCCATGGAGACAGGCAACGCAGGCGGCAGAGCTGCCTGGATATTTTTTCACCCAGCACCCAATTCAAGAGAGAGAATAGTAATGGAGAAAGCAATGTACGCTGGAAAAACATGGGATTCACGGGAGCGTTATTAGGGCTGACAGTTCCTTCTGTCTCCTTTCGCAGTGGAGCAGCTGGCTGGAGGAGAAAGGGAGCAGCGCACGTTTGCCTGATCCTGTATGCTCTCAGTTTCAGCAGCCAGTGTCTCTGCACTCTGGTCACTGAATGCTCAAATTCTGGTTCACCAACACCCCTCCATCCTGTCCCATTTGAAGTCCTCTTTTCCCTGGGGAAAGCCGTTGTCTCCTCACAGTGGCACATGGTTGGAGGTGTGGTGTTGGGCCACTGTGCAAACCTCAGTGAGGCAGTTTAAAGAAGTCCTGACCCACTTTTACTATCTGGAAACAAACTGCCTAAATTCCAGCCTGCAGTCGACATCTGGGGGACCTCCAGGGAAGAGGGCAGCTGGGAGCAGTCATATGAATTGGGGGCAGTACTTGGCCTCCAGGCTGCAGATTTGGGCATGCTTGGTTCAGGTTTTGCTGAACAAATAGTATTTAAAACAAACTTTACTGCATTTTTTGTTGGCTTAGTGAGGCGCCAGGGACCAGCTTCCACATCCAAGATGGCCTAAGCTAGGCTCCTCCTGGGTAGCTCACTTCCCAAGTGGAAGGATAAAATAGTAATTAAAATAAAATGTTCCTGTACTGTTTTGCTGTGTGGTCTAGAGAATATTTAATTTTCTCCACAGTGTAGTCTTAACACTATAGTCATATATAGAAAAAAAAACAATTCAGCGTTATCCCGGGCCTCTCTGCAACATTACTATCAGCATTTTCAGTACAGCTGGGAAAAAAAGTCAACTTCCAGCTCTTCATGGAAACCTGTGATGGTGTCTTTCAGCCTGTCCATGCAAATGGTGATATAGTGGTAGAAACACAGGGTCAGTGGCCAGAGGATGGTGTGCATCGCTCTCTTGAGCTGCAGCCGCATCCTGTGCACTGAACGCAAGGGCTGAGAGCATTTAGCTGCTGAGTTGAATTTGGCACTGGAGAGAGCCCCAGTAACCTGCTCGTGACTCATGGTGTTGCTGTAGCCAAATCACTTTCCCTTTGTCTCTCTGTTACCCGACTGAAAGAGCTGTGGGAGAATTCAGTTCTTTTATGCTTTAAGAATCTAAATGGATTAATAAGTATTAGATGTTTAAGAATCCTCTTTGATTTTAGTCTTTGGGTTTTAGTCTTTGGTCCAGCAGAGCCTTCCAGTCAGGCTGAGACAAGAAGCACAGAGCATTATTTCTATGTGTGTTCATACAACAGTGTAAGAATAGAGCCAATAATTGTGATTAATGCCATCTAAACAGCAAACACTTCCACTCCTGACATGTTTCAGAATGAAAAAAGCCTAATTATCAGTTAAGCAGGGAAAGCTCCAGCCCTGCTGACAGGAAACTGTGGAGATGCAGAAAGCTTGGTCATGCTGGGTGTCCTCTTCTGTACCTTGTGCTTTGGACTGTCCATTAAAAATACCATCTTGCTTCACTGTCCAGATTTAAGGCAGCAAATGGATTGTGTTTTGCAACATCACCAGTCCCATAAGTTCATGCCCTAAGTTATAAGGATAAGAACCACCAAGCAGACGTTCGTGGTCTGTAGTCATGGTGGTGTCCCACAAACAGGGTCCGTTTACCTGGTGTGCAAGCCAGTAACACACAGAGTCAAGGTATTTTCAAATTAATTTCATTGATGTGCATGAATGGGTGCCTGTCTCAAGACAGCACACCCTTGTCTCAAAAATCCTCACATTTATACACTTAACTAATACATATTCATTATTATTTTCCCTAATGATTGGTTCTTTCTTCTTCACCTATCATGTAAATTAGTGCACAGACTCTGTCTTCTTCCTTCATTGTCTTCTTTTGAGTAGGTGGTATCATTTGAGTAGGTGATCAATGAGTCGGTGGTTGCAATCTCCCCCTGTAGGAATTACCTTTTACCTACTTCTTCCCTAATCTTGGCAGTTCCAAGCGGTTCTTCAAGGTTTATTGACCAGACCACAATCCATTACCATTTCTGACATAAGCATAAAGCCCCATTGTCTAGTAGTTAGTTCCTAAACCCTAAATAGTGTCTAGTTATTGCTTCCCTACTTTAAATATTAACTGGTGGGGGTTGTAAACAGGACTTTAGAAGCTCCCTGGTTATTTCAATCATATTATATATATTGATTGATAACAGTGGGGCCATAATCTGCCTTCAGATCCATCAGTGGAGTTAATGCTCCATAGATTTACTCCAGAGTGACAGAAGAGAGACTTTTCCCTGCTCTGGTCTTGCAGCAACGTACCCAGTTGCTGAGGGTCCATTCAATGGCTGGTGAAGCTTTTGGTTAACTTCAGTGGATCTCAGACTGGGTGCTTGGCTTGAGCTCTCTCAGCTTCAAGTCCATTAGTGCTGCTGTGCTTCATATTTCTGCATCCCAGGCAGCTCTCTCTATACTGACCAGAGGGTTTCAGCACTCATTTGGCATCTTCTAGAGGATACACCTTCTGGAAGCAGCAGATGCAGGAGCTAGGAATGGAACCAGAGATTCAAGAAATCTGCTATTTTATATATCCCTGAACCAACCAAGCAAAAAAATGTCTTTCTAGAGTCAACCTCCAGAACATCAGAGGCTGTGAATTTAGTCTCAATTCTATGTAAACCAATCCAAATAGAGCTTATAATGGCTTCATAAACAAGAGCCTTTTGTTTTCTAACCCCACAGCTGCTATTACTAGAGTGTGATGTGTGAATCTTCTGCCTATTAATCCCTGGAAGATGCATGGCTTTGCAGTGAGGTGGCATTTGGCAGAGTGTGAATCAAACCATCACTGATTTCCTCATGCTTTGTCTTCACATTTAGACTGTAAATGGCCATGTTAAATAGGTGTGGACAAAAAGTATGAAAAGCCACCTGAGGCAAACTGTGAAACAAAAAGCTCTGTGTTCTCAGATGATGAAGAGAACGATTCATTGGATTGTGCATCCATGAACAAAAGGCCCAAAAAGAAGGATCAACCCCTTGAGGTACTTCCATATTGTCAAGGATCCTCCTTCCATGACATTCCTTGAATCTTCAACTGAGTGAACATCTCTCTTTGGTCTAAAAACACTGAGTCCAAACAATACATTTTGGGTCTTTCAAGGGTGGGTCTTGCTATGGGTTCACTCACTTTTCTGCATGTGTGGATTTCCTGAAAGAGGTCTGAATTTGTGCCTGTGGAGATAATCATTATACAGGGCTTTGGAGCTGGATCTGAATTGGAAAACTTGGAACTAGCTCTAAACCATGTGCTAATGTGAAGGTATTTGGGTGAGATGCTTTGGATATCAACTGCTAGTTGATTTTTCATGTCTGTAGGGGAAAATATATTCTCACCCCCAAGGCAGGGTAGCTATGGTGAGAACAGCCAGCACCCAGGGTCAGAGTGCTCACAGTTCAGAGCCCAGTCCTTCTCGCTTGAGTTCACACCTAACCAAACCGCACCGAAACCAGCGGTAGTACTTCCTTCATGACTTCGATATGTTTTTGAATCAGGCACTGTATTAACAAGTATACTTGCAAGTTGCTTCATGGAAACAAAAGAACTAAAGGAGATGCAGATCTCACAACATGGTTTGCCAAAAGCAATTTTAGCAATCTTTTGTTCTGGAGGAAATAAAACCTCCATGGGAGATGCTGTAGGCAAAGACTCCTTCCAGATCTGGGCAGGGGGGATGGAGCCACAGCCAGCAGCTCTCAGATCTGAGCCGGGAGATCTCCACCATGGGGGAGCTGGGTTTGTTCCACCCTCCCCTTTGCTCAGTGTGAGGGAGCGGGAGCGGTGTGGTTTGGTTAGTAGTTGTATGTCCTCCTGGTGGGTTGTCCTGCCTCTAGGGGCTCTCAACAAAAGCTGGACTGCTCTGTTCTTACCTTAGAAAGATGCAGCCTCTCTAGCTACTCTCAGAGCTGTCTAGTGGCCTCCCAAAGGAGGCAGATCTATTAATTTCTGATTTAAGAGTCTTTACTGTGCAATTAATGGCTGGTTTGCTTTAAGAGCCATGTGGCTTCCCAAAGAGCAGCCTTCTTCCAAGCTACAGGAGGTACTGCTCTAGTTGTCAGGCTGTGTCCCAGGGTTCCTGGTTTACAGATACCGACTCTGAGCCAGCAGCTATGGAGTCTGGTGTGGTGCAGGATCCCTGGCTGCCATGCACAGCAGCTTTCTTCCTCAGCTCTTCTCCTCCAGCTGTGCCTTTCTGGGTGCAGCCATCCCATCCAGGTCTGTTGTGTTTTTGGGGATTTGCAGTGGCAGCTTGGGGTAAGATTTCAGGCTTGGAAGATGGGGTGAGGTGTTGGATTAATCCCATCTCTGCGAGAAACTACTTTGGTTTATGGGCAAGCTAGAAGAGATGGAGATTTAGATGGAGTCTAAACAAAACCTCGCCATGTTGCAGTTCCTTAGCTGTATATGAATATTTACACTTTGCTGCATCATGGGGATGCAGAAACACAGCATGATCTTGGGTTTGAAAGTCCTATAAAATACAAATGACAAAGTCCTCACTTATGAATGGTAAGATCCTGTCAGAGTCTTACAGGTAAATAGGTTGATGCTGTTAAAGAAAACAAGAATTTGGATATTTATGTAAATGGGGTAGAAGAGCTCACCAGGCCTTGCAGTGTTACATGGTGTTATGACAAGCTTCCACACTGAGAATTTGTGCTCCTGCACAACATCTGGTAACCATTTCTTTTTGTGAAGCTTGCAAGACACAATGCCATGCCAAAGCTCTTCTGAGACAAGTATGCACTGCAGATTAGGGTGGTTTGGGTTTTTTTTTGTTTGCTAGTCTAACTAGTTTCTGTCTCAGTCTGGAGAACAGGGCTAATCATAGTAAACCAATTTCATAAAGTTGGTCTGGCTCCTCCTGGGTGTTCAGGGCTCCTTTTAAAGCTCTCTGCATCAGCTGACTGCAAGGCAGAATTGCAATAGTTGGCTTCTAAAATAATTTCAATGGATTTTGTCTGGCCTGTTTCCCAAGCAAAAGGCTGATCTTTTAAAAGAGTTCTGCCTTGTGAGAATTAACAGGCTCAGTGTGTTTTACCTTGGGGACCCCTTCAGCTTTGTAATGCCCCAATGAGCTGTACCCTCAGAGGGGCTGCGGCTGGACTGGACAGCGCAGGGTGGGCTGGGAGACACCAGAGCTGGCTTCCTGCCACCAGTTTGCTCTCTTGATCCAGGAGCTGCTGTAAATGACACCAATTTGTCCTGCCTCCTTTGACCATTATGTTATTAGCGATCTTTAGCCACACCTCTAACCAAGTGCCAGAGGGGAAGGTGTTTGTGTAACCTGGGTAAAGGACTACAACAGGTTTCTTAAACCAGTCTTCAGTTGGTCATTCATTAATGATCTACGGGGCCAAGATCTGCTTCTCCACTACTTTGCACCTGAAGAGGTGCCACAAAGATGGGTGAGTTTTAAGGAAAGAAAAAACATTTCCTGTTATGCCACTGAAGTTTTTTCTTGCTTTTCTGCAGGCACCGCCTAGGACCCTTAGACCTCGCTTCAGGAAGAAAAGTACCTCGTCCTCTGCCACTGAAACAATGTGAGTGCAATGAGCCAATAGCACCAAGATCCACAGAATGTCTCTCTTCTGCCTTAAAGAGCTACTCATTAATAATGTAGGAAACAGCAGTGGGATGGATGTGCTTTGATGTACAGCATTGTAGACATGGCCTTTCTCTTTCCTCTCTCTGTATCCTTCTGTTACATGCTTCTTGCGTTTGTCCGTGGCGTGGATAGGACAGTCTGGCAGACACCTGCAGGTTAAGAGTCCTTGTTTCGTTTGCAGAGTGTCCACCCACTCACGCTAATCCTGTAAGGCTGTACATTTACAAGTCTCATTTGTGTCTGCATAGCTCTAGCTCTGTGAATGCACAGTGGAAACAAAAATAATCAGTTATTCATAATGATACATTGACAGTGTATTTATTTATGGCTTTATCATTAATGAAGTGGATTTGCAGAAGCCATGGATTTCTCTTTCCTCCCTTCCTCCTCAAGACTGTGAATGATGTAGCAAATGTCAAAGTACTTTGACTGTACAAAATGTCCAAGATTCATTAGCAAAAGCTGAGCTGCAACTCTGTTTCTCTTTCTGCAAGTAAATCACCTGTTCTGAGAAAATCATTGTGCTAAGACCATAGAGACAGAAACACAGAGGATGAGGAAGAGGTCTGCAAGAGAAAACATATGGTTTCAATGATGTAATGAAGGGGGAGTCTTAATTTTGATCAGACTGAGCCAGGAGAGTATTGTGTGGAAAATGATGGCAGCTAGAAGAACTAGATCGTATTGCTTGTGGCAAATGTTCTACTGCCAGTTTTAAAGGGTAAGCAAGCCAGGCTTATACTAGCTGCAGCGACAGAAGTTAGAATCACTTTAGTGATGCACTTCCAGGGGGAAGTGCACCTTTCTCTCCTGCCTGCAACAGTGTCAGTCCCAGCGCTCTGCTTTCCTGGTGAGGTGCTGCTGTTTTACTTGCACGAGCAGAGCAGGATGCTGGGTCTGAGCTGCTTTTTGAAGCCTGGAGTTTCGCCTGTAGCGTGGAGTTTGGTTAGAACCACAAGAACCAGATGGAGTGGTGTATTTGTATCCATATATAAATGAGAAATATAAAAGAAGAGGAAGACGTGGTAGGGTTTGTGTATTTGTGCTTCAAGTTGGTGTCTCTTGTAAGTGTTGAGCATGTGAGATTCACACATAAATTAATTACGTGGCCCTTTGTGTTTGCTCTTGGACCTGTCACATAGACTAGAAAAACATTTAGCATTATGTAGAACATGCCATTACTAATGGATCAATACACGGGCTTGATGATGAACAGTACTGTTAATCTAGTTCAGGTGCAGCAGTCCAGGATGCCAACAGCCAGCTGGAGTGTATCAGGCTCAGAGATAAATCTGAAGTGGCCTTTGAAACCTTTTCTCTGCCAGGTATGCATCGATAGCCCAGCTGTCCCTGCCTGATGGATCCCTGAGGTTTCCCCCAGAGCTTCCTACATATGTAGGGAAGAGAGAAATAAATTACACGCACACACAAATGTTTATCTGACCTGGCTAGGAAGTGGAAAAAGCAAGCAGGTATTTCCTGTGTCTGCCACAATATTTGGCCTCATTACCTGAGAATTTTATTTCCTTTACATGTGCTAACTCAATCATATTTTGCAATGGCTAAGAAGGAAAAAGTCTTCAGAAAGTAAACTGAAAAAAAGAAAAAACAACAAACCTGTCTAAATAGCAGTTACAGAAGAGTCAGTCCTTGGAAGATACTCAGCAAAAGCTTTGAGGAGCTAAGCTTGTGTGTTTTGTTTCTAAGCAGATTTAGAGTTTATTTGATTTCTTTTGGCAAACATGAAAAAGAACTAGAAAAACTGCCTGCAGTGTTAGCAGAAAATAAAATCCTGTTGCAAGCAAGCTACGTTTCCCTGCTATGCAATGGGCTGCCATAAGATAAAAAAGAAGCTGACAAGTTTGCACTCAATTATGCCAAAAAACCTGACAACATAGAGCTACGTAACATCTGACAAATTCTATTCTCAGACATGCTGTATTAACATTGATTCTCACTAAAATTATTAAATGTGCGTCTAATCTGCTGTTTTACTGTAAACTTGACTGTTTAGCATTTCTTAAGTGCTGAGGTGAAATTGTTGACAAGGGAGTTGCCTTATATCTCTCAAAACATTCACTGTATAAATGAGAAAATAAACCTTTTCATATCTCTAGCAAAAATGTATTAATTTATCAACTGAGCTGTATATTTGTGTATAGATAGACAAGAAATGTGAATGCCTAACCACGTACACTTAGTGCTGTAGTGTTCTGTATACAGAAGAGAACGGTCATTTGCTTTTGATTCCTCATCTTCCACACACAGGTTGTTTACAGGTGTTGCCCTGAGTCTGTCATTTCACTCTTTGGCTACTTGCGTTCATTCAGAGTAAACACCAGACATGGAGTCTTTTGTTCCAGTTTTTCTCTTGAACCTCTGCCAAGGAAGAAGCCCGATGCAGCGAGTTGCCTTCCTGCGCTGATGCTGACCCCTCCTGGCAAACGAGAGTTTGCAGGACTCGAGCAGAGAGGACGCACAAGGCTGAAGTGAAATTTGCATTATTTCGACCAAGTAAAATTGAGGCTGAGGGAAAGGAAACTGCAGCTGAAGACGGTCCATGGAAAACGGGCCAGTGAATTACCTCACCCATTTACCATGAATTCACCTTCATTATGAGGAGAATATGCTTAGAGCAGCTCAGTGCAGTCCTCCATGCCTCCTTTCTTGTTGTAGGGGCCAGCGTCAGCGCAGTTACAGCCATCACCAATTGCTGAATCAGGATCACATCAAATATAGACAAGACAGACTTCATGTGTATCACTGTCACTTTGGAATTAATCCCACACTAACCTAAATTGTGTAAGTAAGTGCAAACCCAGCACAGAAGGAAAGGAGAATCAGCTTATTTATTCCTATTGAGAGGGAGAAAGCTGCTTGGAGAGGTGCAATGCTCCCTAGCCTCATGTAAACAACCTGCTGCCTCTGACTGCTCTCTAAAGTAAGTGTTCTCATGTAGTGATGAAACCCTTGTGCTTGTGACCAAATGCTCGTTAATCACAGCCTCCTTTTTGCTGTTTGTTTTGGGTACCCGTTTTGCATCTAGCACCATATTTCAAATAGCAGAGAACACTACGTTGGGATTCGCGTTTAGACAAACTACTTAAGGATCATAATTGTGCACTTCATGTGATCTCTTTCCCGTGATCGGTAGAAAAGATCTGTGATGAAATGGTACACTTAATGCCTCACAAGGATGGCCACTACAACAGTATTCCAAAGGTTGATGTTTTGCTGGTTTTGTTATACTGCTTGATATACATCTTGAATAAAGTCTTAATCTTTTCTTTAAAAAAAAAAAAGAAGAAAAAAGAAAACATCTTTAGTCTGTTCAATGTATCTGGCAGGCCAGAATAATTACTTTGATTGCTGTATTATTTTTATCTCAATTCTGGCTGACTGTATATAGATGTATTCACTAAGTGCTGCATGTCCTTCAGAACTTCTTTCTGTATTATGAACTGGAAAAAAAAAAATACAGCTACTGAACACTCTGAGTAACTAGTGAATTCATTGAAACGCTACAGCCTTGTACAGCAAACCATCTCTTGCTATACAGGTGGCTCCGGAGCTGACAACCAGGGACTATCTGCTTAATAATGGGTTAGTTATTAGTGAACCTTTTGAAGCTACTGCTAGAAGCAACTGCTTTTCATACACTTGCTGGAGTATCCACTTTGTAGAGAAAACCTCCTGTCTAGCCCTTAGCGAAACCAGAGACTAGTTGCATTGTACACTCCAAAGGGACCCTATGATAAATTCTTGGTTTTGCTCCATATATACACATGATCAGCATGAGGTATAATTAGGCTTAAAGACTAAAAACAAGAAAATACTCAGAATTGGCTGCTGGAGGGTATAGTGTAGGACCCAAAGAATATATTCTACTACTCAAAAACCAACACAGGATACAAAATGTGAGTCCTGTAATGAAGTTTGGTGGCTAATACATTTTTACATCAGTTATAAAAACTGCATGTAGCCATGAAACACTGTTTTGTTTTGTTTTGGTTTTTTTTCTATGCTCTCTAGCATGGAGATATGGCAACAGCTTATCTGGTACTGTGACAGGCAGCAATACTGAAACAGACCCTGCTCTCCTTTCTCCCCTTCCCCAAGGAGACTCCATTCAGTGACCTACCAATAAGTATGGGTACAGCAAAATATATCCTGGGGTTATTTAAGTGTGTTTCTTTTAAAAATTTTAAGATTAAATATGTTGAATTATTGACTTTTAGTGATGTTTAGACTATTCATCCATGTACGTATGTTACACACAACCACAGGAAACCAGAACATGTAGGTGACCAGCTGGACCTCTGCTAAGTAAAATACCAATTGTAGCTCAAGATGATCTTGAACATTCCTTTATTTTGGCCACTGATACTCACAGTTCTTATCAGACGATATGCATATGTTTATTTAGAAAAGCAACAGGTATTACAGATTTATGTTCTAAAATTCAGACCATGTGACATGTACCACCACCTCTTTCCTAGAGTTATGCAAAAATGAAACCAAGATTTCTACACACGAAGATTCGTGCGATCATGATACTTCTGGTAGGGATCATTAACGTACCAATTTCTTCTTTTCCAGAAGGAAGTGGTCATTTTGTCAAGGAGTTTACATTGCGTTCTAGTGCACAACACCAGCTCTCTCAAACGCTTCCTCTGGGCGGCTGACTTCTTCCACAGTTTCTTCTTATAACCAGCCTGTCAGAAGAAAATACACAAAAGACATTTAAGTGGGTGACTGCAAATACATATATACAGCAATACTGATAAGCAAACCAGGACAAATTCCCCACTGTCAGTAAGATGGGAGTGTTTTTACAGAGCTTTTTTAAACTTCCATACTAGCTACTGCCCTGTAACGGAAGGAAAACAATTAGTCCACTGATTGTGAAGAACACGCTTTTATCACAAAGAAAAGTCCTTACCTTTCTCCTAACCCAAAGGCCATTGTGCAGCCGGAGAAACCTATCGATGACAGCCTTCACGGTTTTCCTCTTCCCATTCCGTAAGCTACAGTAAGTGAGAGTCCTCACTGGCTGTTGAAGTATACTTGGAAGTAGAGATGTGACACTAAAAACCACCCCAGAAACAGGGCGGGGAAAAAAAAAAACAAACAAAAAACGAACAGGATTGAAACAACTTTTTCTAAAAGTAATCACTGGATTTTCCACACACAGAGAAATCACAAGTGGCTGTGGCTCGTTGGAAGGTCAACAAGAACTCAGCTAACATTACAGCACACCACTTAAACGAGTGCATACGTGTGAATGCTAACTGCAGTGCTGAACTATAGTCAAAATTAATCTCAAAGTTATTATTCTACACAGAACAGCTTCTTCCATCTACTAAAGGTGGTTAAACACTCAAGAGCAAACATTCAGCTGTTACTGGCATTCAGGAATTACTTTTAGAATATTAATTATCAGCAAGAGGAACAGCGGCAATTACAACAAGGCTGTTTGCAAAGCCTATGCCTGCGAAGTATACTCCGTTTTAGGTCCCGCTTCAAGCATTACGTTTAAGATAAGTGGGAGATTTGGGGCTAAAAGAGAGACCCGTTTGCTAGAGCAAAATTAGCCCAGGAAGCCCTTCAAAGCGGTTTATACGAACCTCCTTCGACCGGCGCAGCCCGTACCTGCTGAGGACCGGGGGGGTGCCTCCCCCCGACAGGTTCCCCCACAGCACCCGCGGTTTCCGCAGCGGGGCGGCCGCCGGTACCCGCACCAGCCTGACGCACCGGCCGGAGAGACCGGTGAGAGTGCTCCCCGCGCCGGGGCAGCGGGCGGCCCACGAGGCCCAGCGACCCACGATCCCTGCGGAGAATGAGACCGTCAGGAGACGCCCCGCGCTGCCGCCCCGCGCCGCCATTTCACAGGC